AATTCGAATTTGTCCGGCCTGGTTTCGTATTCGCCCTTCGCTTTCGTCCATGCAGTTTTGGTGGAGATAGAGGGATGATTTTTAAAATCTACATAAGCTTGTCTAAGTACCCCACCTGCGCTATGGTATTCAGCCGTTACCGCCTTAGTCTTACCGTGGACATAGGACATTACTTTCCCACGCAAGAAAGCTTTTCCCGCTTCCCAAAACATTATTGGTGAGGAAACGGAGTTCGAATTGGTGGCGACATAGTCCCACCAACCCGTCTTAAACGCTTCCCTGAAGGAAGAGTCCTTAAGGAGACGAGAGGGGAATCTCCACAATTTTGCATTTCCCTTGGGGAATGTGGTGCGAAATAGAAGCTCAATAGGTGCATGGTCAGACACTACAATATCGTGGATAGTGGCACTCTTTGTGACTGGCAGTAGGGCTGTAGAACAGAAAAGATAATCTATGCGGGAGAACGAGTCGTGTACCATGGAGCAATGAGTATATTCTCTCCCCTCTGGATTGCGCAGTCTCCACACATCATGTAGAGACAGCGTATCATGAAAGAGATTTAGGGCGGACTGGGTTGTCAGAGATGTGGGTCTATCCCTGCGTGTAGACGATCGTCTATCCTCCAGAGTAGACATGACTGAGTTCATGTCTCCTCCTAGTATTATGTTGTCAAATTGTTCTTGGGCCACCAGCTGAGTGATTTCCTGGAAGAATGATTTGGTTGGGGAGTTAGGGGCGTATAAATTATAAAGTACATAGTCTGTATTATATAGCCGGAGGTGAAGTCTAACCCTATGACCCTCCGTGTCAATGGAAGAGTCAATAATTTGGAAGGGTAGGGTTTTTCGCAGTAGAATCGCTACTCCCGCTTTTCTGCCGTCTGAGGGAGATCCAACGACATCACCCACCCAATATTTCCTAAGACGAGGGAGGTCCGCTAGGGATAAGTGGGTCTCCTGAAGCATTGCTATGTCGACCTTGAGTGTGGCTAAATGTCATAGAACTTTTGACCTCTTATGGGGGGATCGGCGGCCTTTAACATTCCAGGAAACCACCCTAAATTGCATCAAGGATGACATTCATGTATCATACAAAAGACTTGATACCGTGAGGGTCCATGTGTCAACCATGTGTAAAAAAATACCTGTAGGAGGATGCGATGGGTAGGAGGAGCGAGTGGAGAGGCCACGAGGAGAGGAGGGTTCTTCAAAATATCCGCTCTGATAAGTGGGTCTCCTGAAGCATTGCTATGTCGACCTTGAGTGTGGCTAAATGTCATAGAACTTTTGACCTCTTATGGGGGGATCGGCGGCCTTTAACATTCCAGGAAACCACCCTAAATTGCATCAAGGATGACATTCATGTATCATACAAAAGACTTGATACCGTGAGGGTCCATGTGTCAACCATGTGTAAAAAAATACCTGTAGGAGGATGCGATGGGTAGGAGGAGCGAGTGGAGAGGCCACGAGGAGAGGAGGGTTCTTCAAAATATCCGCTCGAGAGGAGGCTGCAACGCTGGGAGGAGGCTAGAAAGAATGAACAAAAAAAACATTATACAACTATAACAACTGTAGATGCACCCAGGAAATGCAAAGTTGGTCGAAATCCCGGTAAATAACATTAGTGACTTCCTTTTTTTCCCACCAACACTAGCACAATCAACCTGCCTCGCTAAACAGGGGGCCATCTAACCACCGATCAACGATTTTCGCTGCATCCCTTCAACTCTGTCTATAAACAGTATATGTTGAGTGCTACTCAATGAGACATGTGTAGAGGCCCTCCCCACCCTTCCCATCTCAAAACCGTGAGGAGGATAAGGGGTCCCCTCTAGGTGGTAGCACAGACCTTGAGAAAAAAGAAATAAAAAGAAATAAAAAATATGTAAAGTCAAGGATTAACATTCAAGGAAGAAACCGAAGGAGAGAGAAAATAACGACACCATCGGTAGGTTAGAGAAAGTCCCTCATCCATGGAGTATCCCTGCGGGACATAGGGGCTGCGAGGAACCGGTGCAATCTCTGATATAGGCCCCGCCAAAATGTCAGCAAAGCGTTCCATGGGACCCTCAGGTAGGAAGAGTATCCCGGTCTGACTCCCGATCGGATTTGTTGGGGGACGGTGGGGAGAGTCTCATACTTTTCCCACTGGCTTGAGAACGTGGCTCCATGTTAGAGAGAGTCTGGGAATGAGAGTCCAAAAACTTGTGGGCTTTGTTAGGCGTAGCAAAAATCAGCTTCTCCCCCTCCGGGTTTTGGAGATGTAGCGTGGCAGGGAGAACCTGATGCCTCTTTGGTAGAGAATCTTGCACACTTCTGCAAAGGCCTTCCGTTTCTTCCCAACCTCCGCCGAATAATCTGCAAACAGCAATATCTTGTGCCCATCCACCCGGAGGTCGGAGTTGGCACGCGAAGCTCGGAGTGATAGGCCAGGGAGAACCTGATGCCTCTTTGGTAGAGAATCTTGCACACTTCTGCAAAGGCCTTCCGTTTCTTCCCAACCTCCGCCGAGTAATCTGCAAACAGCAATATCTTGTGCCCATCCACCCGGAGGTCGGAGTTGGCACGCGAAGCTCGGAGGATGGCGGCTTTGACAGCGTAATTGAGGTACTTGGCTAGGACCGGGCGTGGGCGCGTCTGGTTTCTGTGCACCGAGGCGGTGTGCTCTTTCCACCGCGCACGCAGTGGGTATGCCCAGGGCAGAGGGAATAGTACGCGCACAAAGCTCCATCAAGGCATCGGGGGGGATAGCTTTCCGGTATGCCAATTATACGTAGGTTGCTACGCCGTGAGCGGTTCTCGAGGTCATCCACTTTCTCCAGTAGGTACCTTTTTGGGTTTTTACCGTCTCCCGTATATTCGTGTGGGCTCTAGCCAGCTCGTCCTCCAACAGTGTAATGCGGGATTCGGCTTCCGCGAGGCGTTGTGATTGTGCGATGGTATCGTGGCGCAGTGCCTGAATCCCCTTTAGGATGGCGTTATCCACTGCCTCTTGTATAGTAGGCCGAAGGAGTCTGGCCGCCGCGATGGAGGAAGGGTCCGCGGCGTTATCCTCCTCTGAGCCGGATCCCGCCATGGACGAAGGAGACTTGGAGGCCTGTGAAGGCCCGATGGCGCCTTTCTCACTCCTCCGGTGACCTGAACGTGAGCGCTCACCCGTTCGGGCAACAAATGTATCCATCTGGAGCTCAGGTCAGTGCGGTTCAATAGAGTAGCCTGGTCGTAGGTGTCGGGAGCAATAAATAGATTTTATAGGCGTGTGGTGGTCCCGAGTAGCCGGAGCACGTTACATGTGCAGCCGCTGTGGTGGGCGCCAGAACTGGAAGTTTGACCTACAGTATGTTAACAGAGTTAGTGGTATGAGGGAAAAAAGTTCTGGTATAATAATTTCGAATTGGTGGCGACATAGTCCCACCAACCCGTCTTAACCGCTTCCCTGAAGGAAGAGTCCTTAAGGAGACGAGAGGGGAATCTCCACAATTTTGCATTTCCCTTGGGGAGTGTGGTGCGAAATAGAAGCTCAATAGGTGCATGGTCAGACACTACAATATCGTGGATAGTGGCACTCTTTGTGACTGGCAGTAGGGCTGTAGAACAGAAAAGATAATCTATGCGGGAGAACGAGTCGTGTACCATGGAGCAATGAGTATATTCTCTCCCCTCTGGATTGCGCAGTCTCCACACATCATGTAGAGACAGCGTATCATGAAA